AAAGAAACTAAACCTGTTGCGTATGTTGCGTTTGCACGAGTTTGCTTAATTCACTCATTGGATTCTCCTCGCCTCCAGCAACAACGAATATACAAGCAAGGTATGTACGGAAAGTCTCTTGCTCAGCTGGTTCAGTCCACTTCCGCAAAGCAGCTTCAAAACTAACGAGGGCATCATTCAGAACAGATTTTGACTGTAGCACCTGAAAAAGAAGCAGGACAATTCCGGGGCGAAAAAGAGACGCGAAAAAGAGAAATGTACAAGTAACTTGGATGCATACCTCGAAAAGCACATGTGGAAGAACCGACAAGGTGAGGAGATGTCCTTCCTTATTCAAATCGTTAAACTCAACTTTCACATTTACAGACACTGGCTGACCTGTAGACGGATCCTGGAACATAACTCTACTTAACAATCTATTTAGTAGCAAGCCCCGGCTGAAATGACCTGAACCAAGAGCGTCGACAAGATCAACAAGAGGTCGGTCGAGGACAGAGCAGTATCGCTCGACAGTATAACAAGAATTCATTAAAAATCTAGGCGGGGGAATCGCAGAGACAGAATAGAAATGCTTCTCTCTGTTCTCCAACTTCGCTATTCTCGAAACCAGCATGTCAGGTGAAAGAGAACGACAAGAACATTAAAATGGCTATTGTGGGCTCTACTGGACAAATTTTTAGCTAACAACTTCGTCAATAAAAAAACAAGAAGAACGATACTGCTGATGTTATCCAGCTACTGTCTTGCTAACCATGGCATGCTAGTTTATACTTTTAGTATCCTTCAGAAGCCAAGGTTCCATCATAAATGCGGAAGATCCGCGGTCAGATGCGTTTGACCCACTCGAAAACCTCGAAAGTAACAATAATGCCAACAAAATAGGCACTTACCTATGAATCCCTTCAACTGTTAGACCGAACTGACCGTACAGCTTATCGTACACAAATATCGCGAGCAAAATCCATATAAGATTACTGTCCTGTTGGTGGCTCTTTGTACTGTTTACCTCTATGAGCCGTAGAATGAGACGGACATATAAGGTCAACTTGAATCCATTTCCCGCTCCGGGAGATTTGTTTAAAATTTTGACGTCTTTTTCCATCTCGTGTAATGTAACCTCCTTGAATATTATATGAATATTTATGGGTTCCTGTTCTTCCTTTTGCAGCTGACGAGGGTATTTTGTATTCATGGCGCACCTTAACAGCACGCGAACCTAAGATGGCGTCAGGCGATAAGCTAGGAGGGCAGCATAGTTTTGTTCGCTGCGGATGTAGGGGCGTGTCAGGCGGATGGCTTCGGCGCGGCGCCAAACCCATTTTCTACAAGTTGTTGAAGCGAGCAAGCGACAAAATTGAATCACATCGTTCGTATCAGTCGTTTTCCCCCAAATGTTGCCGCTTACCTGCTTAAGCAAGTGGTGGAGAAAGGGTTCGACGCTGCGCCAGACTCAAATCGCCTGGCACGCCCCTCCACCTTCAGTGAACAAGACTATATCACGTTCTCGATAAGAGAGGCGAACTATACTAACGTGAATATTGAAGCAAGAAACCTTGGAGTCATTTCATAAAAAATTTAGAAGCTCAATAGGATTGCGACTCGACGTAATACAGACAGCCGGGAGATTTGTCGCGAAGCCTAAGGTTAGCAAAAAATTCTCAGCGCACACTCGAGCTTCAGATTCAGACATCTTTAGGACCGGCTGGATTTTTATTGCGTCTGAATTGCTACGTTTTGGCCAGCAAAGCATAAAATGCTAACGAGGGTATTAACGTTATTAAATTCACATATGTGGAGCCCTTCCTCCTACAAAAAAATTTATTCTCGAAAGAATAAAGCCTGTAGAAAAAATAGTACTCACCCTGACGTTGACTGAATGTGTGGCGAACGGTTGCAATAGTTGTGAAATCGAGATGAATCCACGCTTTTTGACCCGCGATTCAACAGCCGACGATGTAATGACGGCCACCAGCGGATTCTCCATCCGCCTGACGTCTTCTAACGGTAGGTCACGACGTCAAATAGAACTTCTGACGACCGTCGTACCACACGACGACGACCCGTAGTCACAACTCTGCGTCACTTGCCGAAACTCTGCGTAGCCTAGGCACCGCATGTTGTCTCGCCGAGCTCTCTGCGTCTGCACCCTGCCTCTCTAGTTTTGGATAAGCTGGTCAGGTTCCGCTTGTGCTGAGGAATTCTCAAGAAATAGCCGGTTTCCTCGATGCCCTGGGTTGTTGTTTCGTAGAAATGCAACTGTGACTTGTTGATCAGGGATTACAGAGGTCCAAGCCTTTTTCGCGCGCGGAGCGACGCCATTTCTAAGGGGGTGGGGAAATTTCCGCCTGGGACACATATTGTTGCAGTAAGAAACAATCATTGGTGAGAAGAATAAAGATTTTTGCTTATCTCTAGTAGGTAATGTGCTTCGTAGTGGGTGATCTTGTCGCGGTTTTGAATTCTTGCCGATGGTTGTGCGCCAAAAAACTGCGTCTTATTGAAGTAGGGCTCGAAACATTTCGCAAAAGGACATTTAAAGATCGAAAATGCCTGTGATTTGAAAATGACGGTGATGCTGGATAGTTGTGATACCTGGGAACTCTTTGATGTCTCCGCCCACAAGCAAAACGCGCCACAAAGACGTAAGGCTGCACGACCAACCGCCTTATCATAGCCACAGGCGATACTGCGCCGTCACCTCTAGTTGGGGGGAGGGCATTGTTCCAGGCGGTTCGATCTGCAC